GGTAAGGGTGTTCCAAATTCAATTCTTTCTAACCCTATTCCACCAAATGTACCTTTTCCTAGCAGGTTTATCCAATCAAAGAAAGAAGAGAGTGAAAAAGACATCTTTGAAACCTTCATAAAGGTACAAGTTAATATCCCGCTTCTTCATGCAATAAAGCATGTTCCGAAGTATACTGAGTTTTTTGAAGAAGCTTTGTACAACAAAGAAACTGATTCCGGAGAAGAAGGTGGTACATGTAAGTGAAAATGTCTTTACAATTTTGCAAAGAAAGCTACCACGTAAATGTAAAGATCCTGGTAGTTTCACTATCCATTGTGTTATTGGTAATACAAGGTTTGAACATGCTATGCTAGATTTAAGTGCTTCCATTAACATCATGCCATATTCCGTTTATGCATTTATGAATCTAGGAGAGCTTAAAAATGATGGTGTCATTATTCAATTGGCTGATCAATCTAATGCATATCTGAAAGAAGTTTTGGAAGATGTTTTGGTGCAGGTAGACCATTTGATTTTTCCAACATATTTTTATGTGCTTGAGATGGAGGATTCAACCCATTCTAGACCATTGCCAATCTTACTTGGAAGACCTTTCATGAAAACAACCCAAACCAAGATTGATGTGTCCAAGGGAGCGTTAACTATGGAGTTTGATGGCGATGTGATTAATTTTAATGTTTCTGAATTTGTTAAGTATCCTAATGATGTTCGTTCTTGTTTTTCCATTAATGTGATTAAAAATATAGGGCAGGAACATTCAACACCTATCAAGAAGGATGTATTTAAAACCACCATTGAAAATGGAATTGGAGTGGATTACACGAGACAAGCCATTGCCCTCAAAGCACCCAAGGCCGAGAGCACCACCTTTGAAATTGTTGACAGTGCTTCTACGTTTGAGTCTTCATCACAGTACATTGATGAGCCATCTATTCCAATTCTAATTCCCATTTCAACTAATAGGTTGTTACCTTCTTTGGTTCAGGTGCTCAATCGAATCCAAGATGGTGGGAGAGTTTATATTGACTTTCGGAAGCTCAACGCCACAATCAGGAAGGATCATTATCCCCTTCCGTTCATAGATCCAATGCATGGAAGTTTTAAGGAGTATGTCATGGATGATGTACCCCTCTATGTTGTTGGTCCTAATAAGGATTAAATGGAGGTGTCGTCCGGCTAGAAGACGTTAAAGCAAACGCTTCTTGGGAGGCAACCCATGTGTTAAAAGAAACAGACAATGGAATTTCCGGCTTCTACAACAAGATTTGCTCTCTTTTACCCTTCTTTTTATTGTTTTTACTTTGCCATGATTGTCTTGTTTGCTAGTTATCTTTTATTGCTTTCTTGTTTAAGTTTATTTTTGAAACATTGAGGACAATGTTTGGTTTAAGTGCTGGGGGGGCTAAACATATTGTTTTTCGTGATTTCTCTTCGAATTTCACCACCTATCACTACTAATATTGTTATTCACTGTTTTAAAGTGTTTTATTATGTGTCATTAAAAAAAATGAAAAAAATGAAAAACTTTTGAGGAAAAAAAACCAAAAAAGAGTCGTTTTTGTTGTTTGTTTGTGTCTTAGGTTACCTTCGAACACAATGATGAGGATTTTGTTTTTAATTGCATGACTGTTAAAGAAAGTTACAAACATGGGTGGAAGTTTGATATGCTCTTTGGTTAATACTTAATTGTAGTTGTCATTTACGAATTCACATGTAATCACAAAGAGAAAAAAAAAAAAATCAGTTTTTGGAACATGCTTGAAGGAAGAAACTCAAACTAAATCTACAACCTTGTGAGACTTGAGCCTATTCTTTGTTTGGAGAGTTATTAATCTATGATGTTCTTGTTTTCTAAAGTTGTTGCATGATCTCATTATTTCTTTGCTTGGTTGCTACTTAGAATGCTTTTTCATCATTTTAGTTCCAAATACTAGAACTCATGCTGGTTTCATTCGAAGCATAAAATTGATTGCATAACAAATAACAAGATGAGGTTGTTTAGTTACCACCAGAGCTAAAAAGCCTTATCCCTTGCATATGTATTGTAGGTTTAACCCCTTTGAGCCTTATCCCTTGCATATGCTGGTTTCAATAGCGGGACGCAAGTTCTTTGCAGTGAGGTGGAGCTTCACATTTTGGATCCACTTGAGGTAGTTCCTTCCAGAGTAGTGAAGTCGAGTTTGTTCAAATTTGACATGTTTGTATCATAAAATAGATGGACAAGATGTGGTTAGTGTAATGGAGAAAAATCAATCAATTCACATACGAGTAGAACATTCAGGTTTTAATAGACATGTAATGGTTTAAATTTGCATGAAAAACTTCAGGTTTTCATGGGTGATGTTTGTAAGGAAAACTTCAGGTTTCGAAATAATTATGAACTTTAGGTTCATATGTTCCTGCAGGCAAAAAAAGGGGCTGCATGTGCAACCCTAAAAAACAAAGGCCCAAAACGGGCTCTGATCTAATGCTTCTTGGACAGATGAACCGGGAGAGGGGACGCAATCTTGTGTGTTGCGGTACATGGGAGCCGTAACAGCCACGTGGGTTGTGATCCTCTATGTTGCAAGGCACGGGAACATTGTGGCCTAAGAAGGCCGATGTTTTGGGTCGAGAAGAGCTCCAAAGCCCAATGGGCTGGTGCTTACCAAGAACTGGCCAAGCCTAAGTAAGCTTGGGTTTCAAACCAAACACCCCAGCGTGTGTTGGGTGAACTTCGCCGGAGAAGACGATCGGCGCCACCGCTTTAGGTGGTTGTGTCTTGGTGCAAAAATCATGGCAAAAAAAAAAATTGTGGGTTTGACGGCGGCCCATAAAGGTAAACGAAGAATGGAGACTCTTAATGTTTATGTGAGAAAACCCTAGAAAAATTAATTGGAATTTCGAAGAAAAACCGATGAGATTCAAAATGAATCTCGGCCAAAACTTGTCGTGGGGGAGGGGGAAGATGATCTGCAGGTCGTCGAGACGAGGACCCAAGATCGAGATTGGGCTGCAGGGCCATCTACGAGGGAAGGAAACACCATGGATGGTGTCAGGTGTGTTTTGGGTTTCAAACCAGGAGCCTATGGCTCCGGCATATGGTTTCGCGGCTTAGCCACACATGCTGCAGGCTATGGCAAGCGGCTCAAGGTCATGGGTTTCTTTTTTTTTTTCTCATTTTTTTTTTCAATTCAAGTCAATGCATATTATATAATTTAATGCATGAGCAATTATTTGATACAATTCATGGCAATATCAAATTCACATAATTCAACAATTATGAATATAATGCACACACAATTTATGTAGAATCTAAAATTCGAAAAAAGTAAAGTTGGGTCATGCATTATGATGAATGTTCATGCTATCAGAGCTACAAAAATATCGAGATAAAAATCGTTGTTTTGGAAGAACCTAATTGCGTGATGATATGAATGAATTGGTTTGATGCAGAAAGCTTCCTTGTCAGATTCCTAAGCGCAACTGTATGAGTGTGCTGATAACGTGTTGTAGTCTATTTCATCTGACAATGGGAAAGGGGCCCGTGACAAGGAGAGATTGAGAGAGAGATGTGTTTGTAGAATTGTAGGGGAATATGTGTTATTATCCCTTCTATGTAGTGCCTTTATTTATGGTAATAAGGGAGAGAAGAAATCCTTCATCCCCAAGGAATACAAATCATAATTGGAATTGATAATTAGAATCAAATCTAATCTATGATTACACAATTATACTTTAATAGGAAGTTTACAACAAATAATAAATTATTGAGGGGTTAAAACATAGCCATTTCTGTTGGAGATGATATACAAATATAGTTTTGTTATTTAGGAATGCAATAAGTTTGACATTGTTTATAAATATGCTAGGATTTATACAATTATATTCGTAATCTAATAGGACTGCAATAAGTTTAACATTGTTTATATAAAAATAATATTTTGTAGGCTGAACATGTTATGTTTAGCCCTTTAACATGTTCAGCCCTTTTCAGTTGGAGATGATCTTAGAATCTCTCTCCCTGTGAGTTTCCTGTACAAAGAAGATATTCCGATATTCCACTATGCTGCTTTTTGCTCTACGCATGTTTCTCAGATGGTCAAAGTCAACAATTTATTTCCAAAAGGAAAATCCAATTTTTGGTAAAAGAAAAAAAAAAAAAAAACCGTAACATGTTTTCCACTTCAGAAGACTAACAAATAAATGTATATTAAAAAAGAGTAGTTATCAAATATAACAAAAAATTAACCCTTAATTTCAAAAATATCACTTTTGATAAAATCTTCTAAATATATCCAAAATTCCACCTAAATAGATACAAATACTCTCAAATTTAACAATCAATAAATTAAAGGCTTTTTAGCCAAAATGATTCGTGACATTGACATAACTTCTTATTTTGATTCTTAATAATTAATGATAATCAATAGTAGTGTTTTTGAATTTGTCTATTGTGAATCATTTTATTATTTCTTTGAATTTGTCCATCGTGATCATTTTAGTTTTTTCGTGAAAAATCTATCAATTGCTTTGTTAGTGTGATGATGTGGCGTCACGTGGGTCTCACAAATACAATCATATAACGACATGTGGATTAAATTCAAAAATTATTTTTATATTTAAAATTAAAAATGATATTAATAAGAAAAAAGGCGTTGAAGGCATGATTGAAATTCTGCTGCTCCTACTTACAGAAATCGCGGAGACGCTCAATGTTGGTGATGAGGGGGTCAAGGGGAATAGGGTTTTGGTGGTGGAGTGTAGAAGCAAAAGTTAGATCGGAGCTTGAGGCGACAGTGGCTAAAAAGCCTTTAATTTATTTAATTGTTAAATTTGAGGGTATTTGTGTTTATATAAGTTAAATTTTGGATATATTTGAAAGTTTTTATAAAAAGTGACATTTTTGAAATTAAGAGTTAATTTTTAACTATATTTGATAAGTACTCATTAAAATACCCGTACTAATTATATATATATATATATATATATATATATATATATTTTCCCTCCTTATTGAATCCTCTTCACAGAAAAAAGCTCCGTTTGTTTGTCTGCAAATCCGCCATTCTCCATCTCTCTCTCTCTCTCTTTCTCTGATGATCTGCATTTTCCGAACCCGGTTTCGAACTCGTTCCTGACTCGCTCCTTCTCTCCTTCCTAACTCGCTCCTTCTCCTCTTTCTATACACATAACATACGCAAATAGAAAGTGAATGGAGGGCGTTGCTCTCTCTGAAGATCTCTCCGGATCCACTCAGCGTTCCGACTCGGACAGCGACCAGCGAGTCTACTTCGTTCCCTACAGGTCTACCTCTTTTGCCTCTCGATTTTGTTTTCGTTTTTCACTTCCCACGCCACTGCATTCCCCAATCCAAGCTGATTTCTTTTTCAAGTTTTTTCCGCCAAATATTGTATGCATTTTTAGTGTATGGGAATTTTCCGGAATTTGAAATACTTGGGTAGATTAGGAATTTGAATTTTAAAATTTAGAATTTTGTTATTAGTTCTCTGAATTGAGATTTGGGAGTGATTGGATTTATGCACGGAATATTCATATGTGAATTGGGTTTTCAGTTGGTGGAGAGATGCACAGGAATCAGTTTTGGGCGATTCTGATGGGAAGAGAGGGGTTTTGTACGTGGCTTTGCAGGCTTCTTCGTATGCTGGCCCTATGAAGCTCATCAATAACATTTTCAACTCAGATCTTGTGTTCAATCTAAGGAGAGAGGATGATAGTGTACATAGTGGTGAAAATGGCGAAGTCGGTGTCTCAGGCCGAGACTACGCATTGGTGCCCGGAGAAATGTGGGTTCAGGCACTCAGATGGTGAGTGATTTTTAGTTAGGTTTTTTTTTGTTTTTTTTTGTTTTTTGCCATTTTGATTACATGAGCTCTTGTGAATATGATTGGAATGAAACAGGAGCTAGGTAGCAATAAGAAGTATTCCGATAGTTGCATCTGGTCTGTTTGCCCCCAGAATGATCTGTGTTTGATGTTGCCGCTTGTGCTTTCAATGCTTTTTGGTGGCATGAATAGCTGACAGTACAGTCCTGTGCCCCAAGTTGATTATTGTTGTACATTTTACGTGACATTCACACCCTTTTGCGGCGCTGTAATGTTATGTCACATTTAAGTGGTGTTTTATTTATTTATATTGAAATGGATTGATGTGAATTGCTAATGTTTATTTCCCATGAATGCTGCAAGGACCCTTTTTCATGTGTTTAACTGCTGAAATTTTTACCCTTGCTTTGGTTCTACTTCCAGATTAGGCAGTTGAAATTTTAACCCCAATCTTCTAAGAGAAAGAAATTTAAAAAAGATTGACAGTTCTTTGACTGGACTGTAGTAATTTAATTCCTTTAACAATATACTCATTCAGATTATGCAGTTTGAAAATAATCCCCATCTATTAAACTTTGAGAACTATTAACACTTGCTCTTGCATTAACACCCGAAGAGCAAACCTTTTGAGCTCTCCAAGGTATATATAATGGAACTTTGCATATTTCAAAAAGTTGAAACCCCTTCTAAATGTCAAGGGAGTCATAATTGTTAATATTGTTTGTAATTTGTATTTTCAATTACCACATTGTTGAATCTCAGATTTCTATGGTACTTTTTTATGAATCAATTTGGTATTTTGGAACTCATCGAATGCTGTAAATATGATGCATTTCCATCAGATTGAAAGTCATGGGATACTATTAGTTTTTAGTGGATAAACATAGTTTGTTAAGTATCTTAGCACTGGTATGATTGTTGTATGTGTAGGCATAGTGATTCTAAAGTTGCAGTGAAGGATGGTAGGAGTTTTTCAGCTGCGGAAGATGACATGACCGATGTCTATCCGCTACAACTCAGACTTTCTGTTTCACGAGAAACAAATTCATTGGGAGTAAAAGTTACAAAGAAGGTCAGTATATGTAGTTTACGTCTTTTTTCTGTTTTTGATATTCAGGTTTTTATTTTATTTATTTTTGGTCCTGGATTCATAATGCTTAGATTACTAAGGTTTGAACTGTTAATGATAGGTTTATGTGAGCGATGAGGCATGTGGGCCATCTTATGGAAATGTCTTAAGCATGAAATTTTTGTCACAAACATACATTGTAACTAGGAAAGCCTGCAACATCACTTTACGAGCTGCATTAGGGTATAAATATTATTCTTCTTAGTTTATGATGCAAAACCATCATCAAGTTTTCTTCCATTTTGGAGGGACTCCCACTTTCATTTTATGCCTCTTTTTCACGCTTTTCATTTTCCCCATAATTTCTTTTAACTTTTAACTTCTAAAAAAAATGTTGATATTATGAAAATGAGGATGAAAATTGGAATTGTGGGATTTAATTTCCATTGTAGAATTTTAATTATTTTTATATTCTTGGGTTGCCTATAAGTAGCCCGTATTCAGTTAAGGAGGATAAAGGGCTTGATGTTAGATGGAGATTGTGGATGAAGGGGCTTGTCCTCGTTGAATTTTAGGGGAAAATGGGATCGAAGGGATTAGTCAGGGTGATCTATTGTCAGGCTTCTTATTCACCTTGGTGGTAGACCCCCATATCATCTCGTAGTTAGAGCTTTTGCTTTTGGTGGAAAGATGTTCAGTGGGTAGAGAAGGGACAATGGTTCAGATATACGGTTTGGTGGTGACTCTACTTCTCATTCGGTGGATGGGCAGAACATAGAAGTCTCTTTTGTTGGCATGTTTCTGTGCAGTGGTTTGGTTCCGGAACAATGTACCTGGACCTTCCACCTGGGAGAATGAGAATCCTAGAGCATTCTATTCCTAGGACTCCATGGTTGAGAAGCTGAAGTAAATTGTTGGAAGATACCCATCTAGTTTCTCATTGTTTTATTTACCTAGTGAGCTGCAAAAAAGGATTGATAAGTTCATGCATTTTTTGTTGTGGAGGGGTGAGGGTGAGGTGAAGAAAGATCATCTGGTGAGATGGGATAATGGTGGTGTAGGTTTTTGTAATTCTTTGTAGCACTTAGTTGCCCCTAGTCAATGGGCTGTATTTTATAGTTGTGGTTTAGTAATGTCGTTTTTCATATTTTAATGATGGATGAGAATACTTGGTAAGTATGGTGATTAGAATGGTGGGTGGAAGTTAGGGCTGCCTTTTTTATTTAATCCCTTATTTTCCCTTTGAGGGACTGGGTTAGGGGTTTTGTTTGACAACTTAATTGCTTCATACATTTAGAAAATTGTGCTGTTGAGGTGATTAGGATAATTTAGGAAAGGGAAAATCTGATTTAAAGGATAAAATTGAATTTTGGAACATCCTAGCGCAACTTGCTTAAAGAGGCTATGCTCTGGATCTTTGTGTTTTGCAAATGATTTATTGCTGAACCCACTACCACATATATGCTCTTAAACTTTTATTCAACAATGTGTTTCTAACTTTTGACGAAAACAAATTTGACTTTGACTTGCACTGCTTTGTGATCAAGTAAAGGATGGAAGAGTACTTATAATTGGCTGCGGTTTTTCCTTTTATTCTTTTAGTGAACAACCTACATATTATGAGAATCACACATCGTTGAGAGATTCCCACTTCGCATAGTAGTATATATGTCCTGAGCCTCTCCACCCACTGCCAATTGGTTTTGAATTGATGCTTTAATTCTCTCATGGTGTCAAATGATGCTATCTATGTGTCAGGCCCTACGGCTTCTTCTACTTGCCCTGCCACCCAATTTAGCTTGCCCACGTGTTTTGCTCAAGTCATGCCACACATGAGTGGGTACATCAAGAGAATCCCACATAGGGAATTTAAAGCCTTCCAAAGTAGAATAAAGTGTTCTTGGCCTCCCATCCATTGCCAATTGGCTTTGGGTTAAATGCTCTAATTTTTCATATGTAAATTATGTATGCTGATTCCTGTTATTGCGGGATTTCTTTGTCTTCCACATCTTAATTTGATGTTCTATTTTGTTGTGTATGCATTTCTATTGTAGGATAATGCAGTTGAGTTCTTCAAGAGAGCCTGCAAAATTTTCAGTGTGGAGTCTGAGATGGTACTTAAGTTCATTATTTTAATGCGTTCTTTTATCAGGATAAAGTGGCTGGCCTTTTAACTTCTGTTATTGCACCAGTTACGCATCTGGGACTTTTCGGGGCAGATAAACTTATTTTTTGCAAATGAAAGAGCCAAGTCTTCAAGAGACTTTCAACGACAGTCAGGTGAGGTAAGTGGCAAATTGATGCGATACATTTGTTAATTTATACTCATCAATTGTCTGCTACACTATACTCCAGAACCCGTTTCATGTTTCTCAGTTTAAGTACTATTCTTGCTGTCTTCTCATATTTTAATTTGTCGTTTTGTTGCACAATATCTGATAGATGTAATTTTATGTATGATTTTGTGCAGATAATGTTGGAGTTGCAAGTTTATGGGTTGTCAGATTCCTTTAAGTGCAGGGAAGGGAAAAAAGATGAGATGGCCGCACAACATTCTACCATCACAAATTCCTGTTGTGGTGCTTCAGTTGTGATGAATGGTTCTGCGGGAATCACAAATTCTAACTTCATCCGTTCATTATGGGGAAGCTCTTGCGAAACAGGTTCTTTAGGATTGACAGGATTACAGAACCTTGGAAATACTTGTTTCATGAATAGTTCCATCCAGTGTTTAGCGCACACCCCAAAGCTTGTGGACTATTTTCTCGGAGATTATGGTAGAGAAATAAATCCAGACAATCCATTGGGCATGAATGTAGGTCACCTTTCATTGCACTTTCTTAATATTCATGACCTGATGTTGGGTGAATAATGTATTAGTGAGATATTCCTCACTTTATCAAGTGCATCTATGTTTCTTTACAGTCTTTTAACTTTATGCACTCTTTTGTCAGGGGGAGATTGCTTTAGCCTTTGGAGATCTGTTAAGGAAGTTATGGGTTCCTGGAGCAACTCCAGTAGCCCCAAGGCCATTTAAGTCAAAACTTTCTCGATTTGCTCCGCAGTTTAATGGATTTAATCAACATGATTCCCAAGTTAGTGGTGTTTCTTGCTTCCAGAATTGCTCTCTTTTGGGTTCAAACATTTATAAGGAGTTTTCATTTATCATACCATATTATTTCGTAGGAGCTCCTGGCTTTTTTGTTGGATGGACTTCATGAAGATCTTAATCGTGTAAAATGCAAGCCTTATGTAGAAGTCAAGGATGGTGATGGCCGACAAGATGAAGAGGTTGCTGATGAATATTGGGGAAATCATTTAGCCCGTAATGACTCTATAATTGTTGACGTGTGCCAAGTGAGCATCTTCCTCAGATTTGTCTTTGGCTTCCACTCTTTGCTGAACTAAAATCTGATCAGGAATGCATATTGCTTACTTTTGTGATGCACATGATGGTGAACCTCGCAGGGTCAATATAAATCAACATTAGTTTGCCCTGTTTGCAAAAAGGTGTCTGTTACATTTGATCCATTTATGTACCTGTCGCTACCCTTGCCTTCAATGATGATGCGGACAATGACTTTATCAGTGGTCAATACTTATGGATATTCTCAGCCGTCTCAATATACCATTACTGTGCCCAAGCATGGAAAATTAGAAGATCTCATCCAGGGTTTAAGTGTTGCATCCTCATTGGGGATTGATGAAACCTTTTTGGTGGCTGAGGTACTGTTTAGTGTTAGAATATCTGATAGGGGTTCCTTGAATGCTAGTGACATTGGATGATATCCGTGTTTACATTTAGACACACACACACGTGTACAATATATAAACACATGTCCTTTTGTCTATAAATTGATCTCTGAAGCAATATAGTTCTGTGCAGATATACAACAATCGCATTATACGCTATCTTGAGGAACCAACTGATTCATTATCTTTAATTAGGGATCAAGACAAGCTAGTTGCTTATCGGTCGACGAAAGATGTTGAGCAAATCCCTTTGGTTGTGTTCATGCATCAGCTGATGGAGGAGTAAGTTTTATCTTCTTTTTTGAATCTTATTTTATTGCAATTTTTGTATGCAAGTTTCACAGAGTTAGGGTGTAAGGGGTGCTGTGAAGGAATTCTTTCCTTTTTCTGCATATAGAAATACTATATCTCAATTGAATTGGGTATAACCTGTGTGAATAAAGTTAAATGGATGGGTGATAACTTGTGTAAATGGATAATCATGTTTTATAATCTTAGTATAAATATTCTGAACTTGTGTATGAAATCTTAGTTGCCTATTGATTCACCTGCGCACACAGCTTACATATGATTTCTCTGGAGAATCACAGTGATGTTAGGTATTTGTCGACCCAAGCTACATTCATTGCATGGGTGTGAATGGCGTTTGCTATCCCTGACTGCCTGTTATAGTTCGTGGTCCTTACTGTATGCCCTTTTAGGATAAATCTTAGAACCAACTCCCAAACAGAGTTTTGTAAATAGACTCCATTTCTTTTGTTATAGCACTTATCCAACTATCTCGCTCTCCCATCACTTCCTATAGCTTCTTGATAAGTGGTTGAATCTCCTTGACTGATGTTACAAGCATAATAACTTCGTCTTGGTCAAACCCAAACCTTGGTTTCTTCTTGTTTCGAATGGGTTTGTCTAGTGCTATACATCTTTGGAATTCAGGTGAATTGTGGGTTGGAGTTCAAACCCCTTAGGATGTCTGACGGATTGTAGTGCCTTCAATCCACCCTGTTTCTTGCTCCACCTGATTCCTACTTGGTGAATAATGCCGATGCTTTTTAGACCACACCTCTTTTGCACTCTTAAAACCAAGAACTGTAGATGGTGACCTTTTAATCAAGTAACTTGCATGATTAACAGTCTCTGCCCAAAACTATCAGGCTATCTTGCATGAAATCACATGCTTCTCTCTCTTTCCATGAGAGTTTTGTTCATCCTTTCAGCAGCTTTGTTTTGTTAGGGATTCTTCTTTACTGAGAAGTGCCTCGTGATGCCTTCCTACTTATATTAATCGGCAAACGCCGTGCTTGTATACTCATTTACGTTGTCACTTCTCAGGTACTGGATCTTCTAGTTTGATTCTTGGTTTCTGTCTTCCATTTCTTGAACTTTGTATAAACCTTAAATTTCTACTTCATGAAATAAACCAAAAGTGTCAGACGTCGGAGTGAATATGGCTGAGCTGCTCCTTGCTTCAGTTATCTGCACTCGTACTTGTGAATGATACCTTTCTTTGCTTCCCGAGAACACAATTGCAAAGTGTCATGCCTTCTAGCAAGCCTCTTTTGTGCAATTCTTGAAAACCCCTCTAACTGATGTGCCCTAGCTTGTGATGCCAAAGTTCATGACTTGTCTTCTGTTCTCTGCTTTGTGGAAACAACTGCTCCCCCAACTATCATAGTCTTGATGAGCTTGTACAACTTATTGGGCTGTAAGTCAGCCTGCATTACCACCAGTGATCCTTTGGTCACCTTGAGTCTTGTTGCTTTAGGAGTATGCCCATAGCTGGCCTTGTCTAAAGTACCTAAGGATATCAAATTCTTCTTCAGTCTAGGAACATATATGACGTTCACCAAAGTTCGTATCACTCCATCAAACATCCTAATTCTGACAGTGTCAATCCCCCCTATTGGACGTGGTGAATCATCCCCCATTAAATCTTCTCCATTGATGACCTCAAACCATTCTCTTACTGCACACATATGGAACATGCATTCAGTCTCCAAAACCTGATTTGTGAAAGCCATAGAGCCTGATGTTTCCAAAAGAAGCTCCCCGTCACTCTCTTCTTTGGTGACTACACTAGTTGAACTTTAGCTGCCTTCCATCTTGGTTTTTTCTCCTTCCAAATCTTGCAGTACCTCTTCCAATGATTGGCAGAACCACATTTGAAGCAGTCTTCCTTCTTTTCTTTTTTCTTCTTGGATTTCGAGCTACCCCTATTGTTGTTCTTCTCTTCCTTTGTCTTTTCCCGCCTCATCTCTTTTCCTTTAGGATAAAGGCCTTGAGAGCTTTAAGTTATATCATCAAGTTTAGCATATGACTGAAGGGGCTTGAAGTACGTCCTCAAGTTGCAGGGACTCTTTTTCAAACATTGAAGTTGTTCGAAAATGCTTGAAAGACGGGGGTAGAGACCTTAACAAGATGATGCCATATCCTTATCTTTGTAAGTTTCTTCGACCTTCTAAAGATTGGCTATGCAACTATGGAACCTGCATACGTGACCTTCAATATCACCTCCTTCGTCCAGTCGAACCTTGAATAGTTAATCCTTGATAAATAGTTTATTGGACACAGTTTTGCCCATATAAACTTTCTCTAACTTGTCCCATGCTTCCTTAGCAGCCATCGTTTTTGTGATGTGGGACCTGACTGATTTAGGGCTAGTTTGGTGTTGCTGTGTTTTTTTTTTAAATTGCTTCTATTGTATTGTGAGAATAAATAGTTGTAAAATAAAGTTGTTGAGTGATTGGTAATTTTTTTTTTTGTAAAAGTGCTTTTAACAAAAAAAAAAAAAAAAAAAAACAATGTCCGAATGTTTGGTAAACTTTTATATAAATTGTTGTGAGTATGTTAAATTACTCAAAAGGATGTGGTATTTAACGTGATAAGATAATTATCAAAGACAATAATGTATGGGCAAAGATTGTAATTTTGTAAACTATGTGGGATATACTGTCTATTTGAAAATTTCATTAAAAGGGTACTGATTACTGTTGGAATTTTTGGATTGCCGGGCCCACCCCACTCTAACGACACCGATGTTGTTCCCAACTTTACCACTTGCCCAATCCATTAGGTGTGAGATTTTACCACAAAAGGCCTTGGTATTAGTTAGAGTGGGGTAATACTATTTAAACCCCTTGGTTTCTTTTCACCCCATCGATGTGGGACTTTAACACTCCCCCTCACGTGTAACCTCATTTAGTGGTTCACACATGGAGATCCACATCGGCAATTGAAACTTAGAGGTCGGCTCATGTTGGGCCCACTTGTTTTCAATTGGAACTCAGCGGTCGTCTCTATATTAAGAGCTCAGACTTGTTTCCTTCCTGGTGGTGACAAGCTCGTTGGCTTGCACACAAGCTCGTTGGCTTGCACAGGCGCGCAACCGTGGGCTCTGATGCCATGTTGGAATTTTTGGATTGCCGGGCCTGCCCCACTCTAACGACACCGATATTGTTCCCAACTTTACCACCTGCCCAATCCGTCAGGTGTGGGATTTTATCACAAAAGGCATCGGTATTAGTTAGAGTGGGGTAATACTATTTAAACCCCTTGGTTTCTTTTCACCCCACCGATGTGGGACTTTAACAATTACTACGGTTTGAAAAAAAAAAGCACTTTTTTTTAGAAGTAGGGTACCATGCTTCTAAAAAAAAGTGCTTTGCTTCTACATTTTAATACTTCTCTACTGTCATTGACATCAGTTTTTTAAAAAAGCACTTTTTTCTTTGTTTTACCATACACATTTGATGTTCCAGATATTTTAATAAGTTGCTGTTTTTAAAAGCACCACAATCCCAAACCAGCCCTTAGTGAGATGGATCTCGATGGAGCTCTTGGCGTTCTTGAGAATCTTGTCCATGTCTCTTCTGTCATGGTCGTAGGCTTCTCACCAAGGAGTGCATCATCCAACTCCTGCTGTATCAGTATGTTCTTCATCATCCTTTGCTAGTCCGTGAAGTCATCCCTTCCATCAAAAGGTTTTAACGCAGGCCTTAAGCTTCCTAGGTCTGGGGACTTCTTTCCTTTTGACATTGCATAACACCTTGAACCAAGCTCTTGATACCAATTGCTATAAGTTCGACAACCCTCTGGATCTTGTTCTTTGATCTTTCCAGCACCAACTAAACTTAGCAAAACTATAGAATAACTAGAAACACACAAGATGTATACTGATGCGGCATAACTTTTGCCTACGTCCAGTTGTGATTTCTTTGGGTCGAGAAACCACGACTTCTTTGATTGATAATATATGTACTTTTGCAAACCCAAGAACTAATCTCTCTCTTCCCTCGGTTGTCTCTCTGTTTTCTCTCACTTGCTTTTCAGCCTTTCCCGCACCTCTATTTATAAGTATAGGGTGCGGTTTACATCCTATTTTCTGATTAGGTTTCCTATTCTATTTGGGATAGGAAAGTACACTCGATTCCAATTTGACTTCTAGGATTCCTAATCTAATTGTAACAAGAAGACTTAATTCTTTCCTAATCCTTGTAGGACAAGAATCTGTGCACCTTTAGGTTTCATAATACAATCCTAAATGACATAGGACTTTAACAATAGACAAACCAAACCCTAACCAAAAGTTTCTTGTACTTTTGGAGAAGTAATTAAACGTATGAATATATGTATATGCAAGCTGAGTCACCATAGAAGAATGTGTTTAGTCTGGAAGACCAGAACATTTAGTGACTGTTTGGTTCTAATCCTTATATGAATTCAGAAGTGTCAAAAAAGAAAATAACATTTATTTTAAGCCGAAGCAATATGGGGGTGTGTTCATCTTTTACACCTTGCATTTTGACCTCCTAATAAGTTTTAAGTGTTAAGACAAATAAATCTGCTCTCTGATAAGTTGGTTGTTCATTGACATGCTGGGGTATTGTGTACAGTTGTTGATACTGAAATAATTTTTCTTTTCCAGATTATTCATGATCTCTTTGATTGTAGATATCATTACAATAACAGCACCCTCACATCTAACCCCACAAGAAAGAGATGATCTTTTTCTTCTTTTTCCCAGTCTTCTACACACTCACACACACATTTTTCATTTCCTGTTTTAATAAGAATTTTATTGTTCTTGTGACATTGCCTGCCCTCAACCATCTTATATATTCAATATTGTCAGGCAGTACATGGATGGGAAACTGACTTCAAGCTTTGGAATTCCTCTTGTGTCAAGACTACCCAATTCTGCTACTGGATCTGATATCTGCAACTTATACTTGAAATTACTTAAGCCATTTCACACACCCTCAAAAGATTCCCAAGAATGTTTTGATAGTTCCGAGGGCACCACTCTTGAAGAAGTCACCGGAACACAGGATTCCACACCTCCTGTTATAGGGGCTGTGAACCCCTGTAATGGAAGTGAGGCTGACTCACCCTTTGATTTTGAATTTCAGTTTTACATAACAGATGAAAAGGGAATTTCCAAGGATAGAAAGATAGTAATGAATGATATGGTAGAGAGGGAAAAAACCAAGCGGTTAAATGTCCTTGTATGTTGGCCAAAAAAGTACATCGAACAGTATGATAATCGCCTTCTTTGCTCATTACCAGAGGTTTTCAAGACTGGCCTTTTTGCAAAAAAGCCTCAAGAGTCCGTTTCTCTGTATAAGTGCCTTGAAGCGTTCTTGAAGGAAGAGCCTCTTGGACCCGAAGACATGTGGTCAGTGGGTACACTTGAACCTTTTAACTTTGGCTTTAAAAACATTTTGTGTTGTGTATACCTAGGAGTTGGAAGAGCTCAAATATAGATATGTAAGGTGTATTCACTCGCTTTTTTGGTAACTGGGTATGTTCTGTGAAATTGTTATTTATTGTACTCATTGCAGTAATTTTGACCTCAAATCTGGTATGAGTTCGTAATATTTTTGTGTTTGGATTAGGATTTAAAAGCTCTTCTGTTTGATTAACAGTCTTATTAGTTGCCTTATGCAATTACATAATTTCAGGTTGCATGTAAGGTCATTGACTAAACTCCAAACTTTTAACGTCGTCACCTGTTCATCATGTTTGTTCGGCTTAATTCTTCAATTAGTTTCTTCCTAACATCTGTTAAATGAGTAATTGCAGTTTTATGTCTATTTCCAAGTTAATGTTATCACAACACCTTCATCTACTCATCGAATGTTGGCAAACGATCTTGTAATGCTCAAAGTAGTGGTCTTTCAAGCGTTATTTGTTATTGTTGGTCAGTTTTCAGAATAGACACACTCAGAAAGTGGATAATGTTATACTCTCATGGTTATGAAGTAGAACATTGTATTTGGAGTTTTATACAACCTCTTAACCTTTTATTAGTTATTACATTGTGAGAACTTGTTATCAAGGTTTATCTAATGTTAATACTGTTATTACTATTTTAGGTATTGTCCTGGCTGCAAAAAGCACTGTCAAGCCAGCAAAAAGTTGGATCTATGGAGACTGCCGGAGATCTTGGTCATTCATTTAAAGCGGTTCTCATATAGCCGTTTTTTAAAGAACAAGCTGGAGACTTATGTCGATTTCCCTATTGACAATCTTGATTTGTCAACATACATTGCCCACAAGAGTGGTCAGTCATGTAATCGTTACATGCTGTATGCAGTTAGTAATCACTTTGGAAGCATGGGAGGTGGTCATTATACTGCATTTGTCCACGTAAGTAGCATTTCTTGCTTTTCTTTCAGTTACATTTCCCTTTTTTCTACTCTTTAATCTGATGAACTTCCCATATACTTTATTTTTAGTTATTTTCTTAACTAAATAACTTCTCAGTTTCAAACAATTTATGAAATGAATCAAATTAAAAATGTTTCTAGTTTGAACTCTTATTATTAGTTTACTTGGTATAGTAATGCTATTATCCATATGCCGTCCCTAGCCCATGCATATTCTTGATTTTCAGGAATACTTTCAAACTTCTCTCATAACATGAGGTGTAAACTTTAAGGTGATCTGTTTGTGCTTATTTAGGCATGAATGACAAACTAATGGGTTTCTATTAGAAAAATCCTTTTTACTTTTATATGTGCATGTTCACCTATGACATCATCTGAATGTGGTGCTGTTTGTTTTAGGCCTGAAGTGATAGTTTGATCATTATATAAAGAGATCCTTTGTAACCTGCTCTTTCTTCTGCCTTTTGTCAACTATCAATGACTTAGCACAATTCAAGCCCTTAGCTGGCTTAGACTTCCTAGAATTAGGTCCTAGTTTCCTCTGCTGTCAGAGTGCTCCTTTCCTGGTGCATTAAGGATAATAGGATTCAATCTTTTGTAGCCTACTCTCTCCTCAACCTGTTGTTTCATTGTCTGAATTGCGCTTGCTTATCAAAAGAATTCTCACAATGGGTGTGGCCACTCTTTGAAAGCATGCAATAATTATTGTTTTGCACTTGAAATTGTGGGTAATTTGTATTCGAGTTGAGTCTTGGATTTATATTATTTCCTTTTTCTTGTATGGTATGATTGGATCTGTACGTTAACTTATGTTGGTTGACACAGAGCACTTAAACTGTATTATTTTTCTGATGTAGCATGGAGGTGATCGGTGGTATGACTTTGATGATAGCCACGTTAACCCTATCAGCCAGGACAAGATAAAGTCTTCATCTGCTTATGTTCTTTTCTACAGAAGAGTTGTGGAAGTGTGATATCAGAGCTTTGAAATTCCTTTTCAAGATCAGTCCTGTGGTGGAATATATTTTTCCTTCACCTCAGTCCTCGCACTAACCACAAAATTATCATTCTTTTGTCTTTGGTATTGTTTAGTTTGGATTGAGAACTTCCAGCATGGATAAAATTGAGGGAAGTTCTTACGCTTAGAGGACGGTGCTGAAGATGATTGTAACATAGTAGCAAAATGAAGGGATGAGTGACCGCACTGAGGATGCTACATGCAGTTATAACCATCCATGAAGAGACATTTACTACCTGGAGTAGAGAGATTTCTGATAGGGTCTGCTCTATGAAAGTGTAATTTTTGCTTTTAGATATAGCTGATGAGTTTGGCGATCTTTATTTCAGTCATCTTGTAAACAGGGACTGCTGGAACAAGGCTGCACTGCCAATGACCTTAAGGTCGTGTGGCGGTAAGACTTTCCTTGGGGCGGAAGGAAACTTGCCCGGCTGCGCACTGCGCAGGTGAAGTTGCCTAAGTCGGAAAAAAGAACGATATGCTCCTTTATTTATTTTATTCTTTTTGGTGTATTTTTTATTGGTTGGTGATGAAATTAGGGCATGAAAGAACTGTATGATCCTTACCATGAAGCCAAAAAAGGTTCATCTGATGAATGTTCCAACTATAATTTAGCCAGATTTGATTTTTAACAGAGTGCTTCATTACCCTTTTTCTAATTCTCGTTCGGTCACAGCGGGGAATCAAGTAAAAATAGAAAAACTCACATTGTGATTACGGATAATCAAGCTCGAATTGATGGCTTCCACCACATCAAAGCGGATGTTATGATTTTTTTCTCGTGTTATTGGTAAAAAATTTCATTTACTTTTTCAATTAAAGAAAGAAGAGTTCCTTGTTATTATTTTTCAACTTTTTAGTTTCATTCATCATCTCTCATCTTTGAATCTCGAGAACTTACATGACAAGAATATCCTGTCGAGTGGCTTTACATGATAATAAAGTAAAGATGTAATTTTAGATCGACTTTTTAACCAAAATGGTCTCTGAGATTTGCATATTTTGGTCTTTGAGATTTGAAATCGATAGAACTGGTCCCTGAGTTTGTCAACTATCAATCATTTTGGTCTTTCTCTAAAACATCTCCATTGAAAAAGGAAAAAATGATAAAAATACCCTCAAATTTTGTCAAAGCATCTTGCCCTATTGTTTATTAAATTGAGGGTAATTATATCATTTTGATCCTTACTTAACATAATTTTCCATCAAATGATCAAAATAATTGATGGTGGACAATCTCAGGGACTATTTCTATTGATTTCAAATCTTAAGTGAGGAGTTATGCAAATCTTAATGACCATTTTGGCTAAAAAGCCTTTTAGATCAAAAGAGTAGGTTTGGTCTTCAATGAAACTAAACTTCACGTGTATCTTTCTTTCGTCAAGGGCTCTCCAAAAAATTTTAGGTTTTTATTTGGTCTATAGTATTCACCGGGAATGAATAACTCAAAATTTAACATGTATCAAAGGTAGACGTGAATACATTTTCAGTTTCAGGAGAGCAAAAGATAAAACATGAAGAAAAAAAATATTCCTTTTAATTCTCTCACTTTTTTTTTTTTTTTTAAACTTTCAAGTTGGGGCGCCATTTTTTCATTTCTTTCGTACAACATTGCATCTCACATGTGCATAATGAGCATGATTCAATTGCATTATTATGTAGAACTTTGTCATTGACTTGTTGAAATTACCAGTCCCTAGACTGATTAGACTATCTCCAACAATACTAATTAAATTATTTTTATTGTATCTAGCCAAATGATTCAACTGTTAATTCAGCTACTACCGCTTCCAAAAATACTAGTATTTTAGCTTAAATTAAAATATTTTTTTTCTAAACTTAACAACTCAAGTCCTTTTTCTTCTCTTGAAGACCGCACACGATGCAATTTTATAGTTTTTCATGCTTAGCAAAAATTTAACTTTCTCTCTTCTAACTAAATTTAGCTAGTTACTGTTCATAAAGTTAAGATAGTAGTCATTTAGCTAGCCTATTAGAGCCTGGTTTTTCAACATTTTTTCGTTAAAATAGCAAAAATGCCCCTTTAGCTAGATTGTTGGAGATGCTCTCGTAACCAAGGTTTTAAAAAACACTAGGCGCTAGTCGAGCGGCAGGATGGGGCTTAGCGCCTAGGCGGATTTAAGTAAATATATTGTATTTCGTATAAATAAGTATCTGTTTATACTTAAAAATATATATAATTTCATTATAAACTAGAAAATGGAATGACATATATATTATGAAGTATTAGAATATAATAAAAACATGGGGAGCAAACATATAATATGTGTTTATTTAAGTGTTTAATAAGTCTCTAACAATTTATTGGAAACAATAAAATGCAAAAGGAAAGTTATCTATTTTCTATCTAAGTGAGTTGCAACCTAGGCAGATGTCTAAGCGAGTCTAGGCGGGCGCCTCAGTAGGTCTAGGCGCCCTTTCTTAATTTTCAAACACCAAAAAATTAATCGGGACGGTGGTCAGCCGCCTAGCGCCAAGGTAGGGTCTAGGCGGCGCTAGATGAGATTTTTAGAATAGTGCTCACAACTTAAAAGGACAGAAGGATGCATGCATGTTTATAATTTTTACTGAAGGAAGATTTCACGTTAATTGTTTATCTTGTATTTTTTTATGGTATCATGTTGGAATTGGACCACGTTTAGTCGTCTTTCCTATCTTGGTTGTTGATTACTATGTTGTCCGAGTAGTAGTACCACTTTCCTCACCACTTGCATCGCATTACGATCGATCTACACCTTCATTTCTGGTTATCAATTGTGCATATGTGAAAATTAATTAAAAGGCCTTCAATATCCACATAATTTAGCTCCATTACTTCTCTACTCTAGTGTTGGCCATCATATTTAGCTCCATCCTATAGGTTTATTTCAACCTATATATATAGGTAATGCTAGGGAAACCAAAATTTGCAAACCAAATGATGTGTCACCAATAGGATTATTACTTAGTTGCTTGTTCTTGTGTAGCTTAGTTAGTAGCCCATCAGGAGTTTTCCTTAGCATGTTCTTGTGCATCTTAGGTTTTATTCGGATAAATATATATAGGTAATCAACTCTTAAGTAATAATCCTATTTATGCAGCTTAGTTAGCTTGTTCTTGTGCATTTATGTTGTTAATTCTTAGTCAATTATGCATTTTAAAGCTATTTTCGTGTGTTTGTAGGTCCTAATAACAAAGTTGGCAAGAAAGTGCATTTTGGAGCATTTTTGAGCCACGATTGGATAGTGCAAGCATGGAGACATGAGGATGGACGTTTTTGAAGATTAGAAGGCTGGAAATTAGCATGTGTGTGTGCAAATATGTTGATTTTGGGTTGAAATGGTGAAGAGCATGTGTGTGCACATGCAAAGACAACATACATACACACACATGCAAACTGCACGGCACATGGGCAAAATGAAACACACACACACATGGACAGCTTGGCATGGGCAGAAAATGGGTGGATTGGTGGCTGAAATGATGAAGAACATGTGTGTGTAAATGTAAGAGGAAACACACACACATGGGCAAAGGAAAACACACACACATGGGCAGCAGAAAATAAAGAATGAAAGAGTGGAAATGATGAGTACATGGACAGCTTGGCATGGGTAGAAAAGGTGTGGATTGGTGGCTGAAATGATGGAGAACATGTGTGTGCAAATGTAAGAGGAAACACACACAAGGGGCAAGTTGTCCCCAAAATCTTTTCTGCCCAACAATCCACACCTTTTCTAATATGCCCAGGTTGGAGAAACCATCCAAATTTCAAGTGGAGGGAGCCCCAACAACAAGGAGGCTTTAGGTAGCAACCGACGGGCTTCTATACCAAGCAATAAGCACCAACACAAGTGATGCGAAATATATAAGCACACAAATTAAACCCTCTTTTTATCAAATGTAGTAAAGTATGTAAGTAGGGATCGTTCTAAACCGGGGATTAGGAGGGCTTGCTAAAACCTCTAAACTAACTCAAAAACATAAAAACAAAGTTAAAAACGTTTGAATAGACTTAAAGAACTCAAAACAGGTTCACAAGACTCAAAATAACTTAAAGACACTCAAAACTGCCTAAAAACACAAACTAGGCAGTTTCTGACTCTAGCACAACTTTGGACGAAATTTGGGTTTTGACTTGACTCAAAACACTCTAAAACACAAAACAAACAAATTTTAAACACTTTGAAACAAGAAAGTAAAAGGGGATTTTAGTTTTGATGAATTTGAAACAAACAAACAAGTTATAAAACTAGGAAGATTGTAAAACAAATTTAAGAAATAAGATGATGGATGGATTAGTTAGAGGTCCGTTCTTCACACATGACACACTTGTATATGAATTGATTTCCAATTGCTTTTCAATAAACTATGATGCTCAACACCCCAGATTAATTAGGTACGCTTAAATTAATCCTCAGATTTTCCTAATTTCATTGAATTGGATGATTGCATACAACAACCCAAAGCATTCCCCACAAGTTCCCTACATGAATTGCATAATAGAGATACAAGCAAGAATCATTAAGTTCTATAAAAATCATAAGCATTGACGAAACACTTGTAACTATGAATTGCATGAAACTTATGCCAAGAATTCAATTAACGCGATTGTGATAAACAACCTTCACTACTTATGAATATAAATTTGTAACGATTAGGTGAAACTCATTTATATTCTCTAGCATCTAATTCATGCATGAAAACTAAGTATGCATCCTTAATAAACATACAAGAATTAGTTATGAATAAAATAGATAATTGAATTGCAATCACAACTTATCAAATCACAATTGAAAGAAATCAATTTAAATCTCAAGCATGTTCATGGCTTCAAACTTCCCCCTAACTAAATAGGGGTTTAGCCACTCATACTTACAAAGCAAAGATAAACAAATTTAAACATTGAAAACAAAAGAAAGAAAACACCTAAAAACGCTCCAACAATCCAATTTGAATGGCAAGCACGTCCAAGATCCTTCTTCTTCTCTTTGTAGCGGCACAAGGTGTGGTTTGATGGATGAGTGGTAAAATTATGGTGGTGGATGGATATAGGTGGGTTATGGTGAAGGGTGGATGGGTGGATTGTGTTCTCTTTGGTTTTCTTCCCCCTTGTTATGGTGAAGGGTGGATGTATTTATAGGCTAGGGAGAGGACCACTCCATTTCCTTTGCATGTGAGCTTGTGTGGGTGTGTGTTGGCATGTTTCCTCTTTACATTTACACACACATGCTTCATCATTTCAACCACAAAACACACACATTTTCTGCCATGTTTTTCCCTTTACATTTACACACACACATGACCTCCATCATTTCAACCACAAATCAACCCATTTTATGCCCATGTGTGTGTGTTTCCTTTGCCCATGTGTGTGTGTTTCCTTTGCCCATGTGTGTGTGTTTTTTCCTTTGCATTTGTACACACATGTTCTTTTTCATTATTTCAGCCAACAATCCACCCATTTTCTGCCCATGTCAAACTATCCATGCCTTGCCTTTCTCTTTGTGTATGTGCTGTCCACGTTTCTGAACCTTTCAGTGTTACAATGCCCATAACTTCTTCTAGAAAAATGATATTAACAATCCGTAAATTGCTCCAGAAAGTAGACATCCGTAGCTTTCCACGAATA